GCAGTGAGTAGCCCAGGTTAGTAGCTGATGAGCCTATGTCCAATCAATTCTTTAGGTATTCTGCATGTGCCCTTGAAGAATTCTATAGCCTTACTTCAAATAAAAACTCCCCATAGTGTTCAGGTCAATGTATACACCTCAACTTACAATGCTTAAAAAAAACTGATCTTGCCTTTCAAGCAGATAATGTTGAAACCAGCTATGATGTTCCTGAAGCTAGGAGAGATCAATAACCTTAGCATGGATTAGGAACTGATCTGATGATTCAATCCAACCATGCATTCTGTGATGATAAATCAGAGGATTGTCATACAGCATTCACAGAAGCATACAACTCCAGAATCCCTACAGTATGGAAGCAGGCCATTTAACCCATCAAGTCCACACTGACCTTCTGAAGATCATCCCACCTAGACCAACCCCATCCCTGTAACCCTGTATCTCCCATGGCTAATCCACCTAACCTGCACATCCCTGGACACTACAGGCAAGTTAGTATGGCCAACCCACAGTGGGAGAAAACTAGAGCACCCAGAGGAAACATGCACAGACACGGGGAGAATGCGCAAACTCCACACAGGCAGTTGTCCAGGGTTGGAATCAAACCCAGGTCCCTGGTGGTTTGAGGCAGCAGTGTAACCACCGAGCCACCGTGTCATCCTCCTCATCTTCATCTACTTTTCGTCTTGTACAACTGATCAAGTCCATTTGGCATTTGCACAAATAAACAGCAAAACCAAATAAACACATTCTTTCATTCCCATGATGACCACTGGTTGACATTCTCTCTGTTCTTTATTGACTTCACCCCTTAATCCCAACCATCAGACGGCACTGCAATTGCCAAAATCCAACAAAAATTTCCCAAACTGGCTAAAGCTCCCTGAATAAAATTGAAACTCTGTAACTGTGTCACTTTGTTGTTTTAAGATCGCGAAGCAATGCAGCAGGGGAATAAAAGATTAACTGTTTGGTGGCACTGAACACAAGAAAATAATTATATCCACAAGAAAATAATTATATACCAATAGCCACTATAAACCCACCAACTCCCACAGCTGCCTGGACTATACATCCTTTCACCCTGTTTCTTATAAAGACTCCATTCCATTCTTCCAGCTCCTTCCTCTCTGTCATACATGTTTCAATCAGGCGAATTTTGACAAGGGAGCCTCCGAAATGTCCACCTTCTTCCTCAGCCAAGGATTCCCCAGCACCATTGTCGACAGGGCCCTCAACCACATCTGACCCATCTCCAACACTTCTGCCCTCACCCATTCTCTTCCCTCCTGCAACAGTGATGGGGTTTCCCTTGTCCTTACCTATCATCTCACCAGCATCCACATCCAGAAGATCATTAGCTGCCATTTTCATCACCTCCAGTGAGATTCCACCACTAGACACATCGTCCCCTTCCTTCCCTTGTCTGCCTTCCACAGGGACCGTTCCTTCCAGGACACCCTGATTGACTCTTCCTTCACTCCCGACCACCCTCCCACAGCCCCATGGCACCTACCCTGCAAACGCAGAAGGTGTAACACATTTACCTCCTCCATCCTCTGTTTCCAAGGGCTGAAACATACCTTCCAGGTGAAGCAGCACTTTACCTAAATTTCTCACAATCTAGTCTACCGCATACACTGCTCACAATGTGGTCCGTCTACACTGGGGACAGACTGGGTGACCGGTTTGCAGAACATCTACGTTCTGCCCGCAAAAAAGACCCTGAGCTTCCCGTTGCCTGTCACTTTAACACACCACCCTGTTCCCTGGCCAACATTTCTGTCTCTATCGTGCTGCATTGCTCCAGCGAATCTCAGCACAAGCTGGAAGAACAATGCCCCATTTTCCACTTGGGGAACCTGCAGCCCTCTGGACTCAATATCGAGTTCAATAATTTTAGGGCCTAAACTCCCCCATGTCCTAACCCCTACCACACACACCAGGCTTTGTTATTGCATAGTCTGCCATTACACACTACCTATTGTTAGTCACTAACAGTCTCCATTAACAACTATTCACCCTCCCAGCCAGATTGTTATCAACCCCTTTGTCTGTCCAACTGTTCTTCTCTCTCTTTGGGCTCTATCCCTACCTATTGTTTACTCCTTACCCCTCCCTTCCATCCTGGATTCTTCATATAAACCAATATTTTCCTAGCCACCATAGATAATAAGGGGTAGAGCTGGATGAACACAGCAGGCCAAGCAGCATCAGAGGAGCAGGAAGGCTGACATTTCGGGCCTAGACCCTTCTTCAGAAAATTTCCTAGCTACCATCAGTTTTGAGGAGGAGTGACCAGACCTGAAACATTAACTTTGATTTCTCTTAACAGATGCTGCCAGACCTGCAGAGTTTTTCTAGTAACTTCTGTTTTTGATTCTCATCTACAGTCCACAGTTCCTTTGTTTTTTACAAGAAAATAATTCTTTGATGTGACAAACAGTACAAAATCTGACTGCATGCACTCTCGTGCGATTGGAGCATTTAGCCATATGTTGAAAATGGTTGTGCACAAACATTCCCTGAAGCTTCACATTGCGCACAGTCTGGCTTTCTATTCAAAGCTGATAACAGATTTTCTTATCTTTCCTCACTGGAGTGTAGTATGAGAGTCAAAGGAGTTAAGACTTGAGGGTGGGAGGAACAAGGAAGAAAGTGGAGTTGAGGCAACAGCCATGAAGTTGTGGGATAGAAGCACAGGCTCGAGGGAGAGAATGGCCTGTTCCTGCTCCTAATTTTTACATTCTTGCGTCTGGCAGAGGCCTCCCCTTCCTTTTCTAATTTCGATAGGCAGGGAGACCATGCAGGGTTGGCAATGTTCAAGGATAGATCTGCAGTCTCCAAAAAATAAAAAGTTCATTTCTAGAACACAGCACCAGCTGAAGGATGATGAAAAAATTAATCACTGGTGTCTCTAAAATGTACTTTTTTCAGTTCCTTTGATCAATTTTCTTCATTAATTGTTTTTTGATAGGTTTAATCAACCAGTTCAGATGTGAGATAATACAATTCTAAGGCAAGTGGGACTTGACCCCAAACCATTTAGCTCAAAGGTAAGGACACTACCAGTGCACCCTCACTTTGATTAGAAAAATGGGAAATGGGGGAAATTAGGCCGTTTCACAATTATCCAAAGATCATTGGAAATTCTCTTCAGGTTTTGAATTGGTTTGGGAAGGCAGTGTTCTGAGGTGATGGACAAGACAGCCAACCAATGGCAGGACTGTGGGTATGGATCATTTGGAGGTGGGAAATCATTTGATGAGATTCATTTTGGAAGGTTGAATTTGAATGCAGAATATAGGGTTAATGGCAGGATTCTTGGCAGTGTGGAGGAACAGAAGGCTCTTGGGGTCCACGTCCATAGATCCCTCAAAGTTACAAGCCAAGTTGATAGGGTTGTACAAAAGGTGTATGGTTTGTTGGCTTTCATGGGCAGTGGAATTGAGTTTAAGAGCCGTGAGGTTATGCTGCAGCTCTATAAAACCCTGGTTAGACCTCACTTGGAATATTGTGTTCAGTTCTGATCATCTCATTACAGGAAAGATGTGGAAGCTTTAGAGAGGGTGCAGAGGAGATTTACCAGGATACTGCCTGAACTGGAGGGCGGGTCTTATGAGGAAAGGTTGAGGGAGCTAAGGCTTTTTTCATTGGAGCGAAGAAGGATGAGAGGTGACTTGCCAGAGGTTTACAAGATGATGAGAGGCATAGATAGAGTGAATAGTCAGAGACTTTTTCCCAGGGCAGAAATGACAATATGAGGGGGCAATATTTTAAGGTGATTGGAGGAAGGTACAGGGGAGATGTCAGAGGTAGGTTCTTCACACACAGAGTGGTGGGCATGTGAAATGCTCTGCCGGCAGTGGTAGTGGAATCAGATACTTTAGAGGCTTTTAAATGACTTTGGATAGGCACATGGAGGATAGTAAAAGGTAGGGTATGCACGGTAGATTGATCTTGGTAGGATAATAGGTCAGCACAACATCGTGGGCCGAAGGGCCTGTACTGTGCTGTCCTGTTCTATGTTCTATGTTTTGAGACCTTCAGGAATGACATCACCTCAGTTGCGACTTACAGCTGGACAAGAGAGTTGACTGGGACACAATGGCTGAATGACCTCTTTCTGTGGTTTAACCAATGTTTGATATTACGGATTTAAGAGTTGGCAATAATAGTGGTTCTACTCACCAGATAAGCGACCTCCTAGTGACACAATATGGCACCTAGGACTATTTTGTAACAGTACCCAAATTAACTTGCATTAAAAATGAGGCAAATGATCCACGTTTAACCAGTGCAACTGGATGATTCTGGATGCCACAGAACAGGATACACGTTTGCAGCAATGGTTCTTCACCTGGAACGTTATCGCCCTTTATTGGGCTCAACTGGAGAGATACCAATAAACTCCAGGTTGTTCACCAGACAGAGGTGGTAAAAAGTCAAAGGTCAACTCAAACTTTGGACCCTCCCACCAGAGATTACAGATTACAGAACATCCTAGGCCAAGGTAATGTGGAGGTTATCATTCTGTACTCACAGCTACAGGATGGTGCATGGCCCAAACAGAACTAGTTAGTTAAAAAACAGGGAAATGAAAGAAAATGTAAATTTAAAATCAAAAACATACAAGCACTTGAAAATGGCCCTTTAACTCTACAAGACCTTTGCAAACTTCCAACTTTCAAGCTGCCTGGTATTCAACTTTTGAATTGCTTCCTAAATCTCTTTGTTTCTCTAACTTTCTCCTCTTTGACATAGTGCCTTAAAACCACCTCCATGACCAAGTTTTTGCATACTTCTCCTGACGTCTCATTATTTGATTCATTGTCCAATTTTGCTTGGTTAAATTCCTGTGAGTACCTGCACCTTGGGATCTTTTAACATGAGACATTATGCAAATACAACATGCTGTTGGTATTGATAAATGCAAGCAAAGACTTAGAATAAAATGTTGATTAAGTCAAATAGGAAGGAATAATTATTGAGCACAACACCTGAAGTAGAATTGCTGAATTTCTTTAGAGCTTCAAACAGGTTGTGAAAGGCTCCCACGTTGCCATCCGTTTGGCTGTACAGAAGAATTTTCTTGGCATCATAAAACAGACGGGAGATTCTGCAAAGAATGGAAATGGCAGAGTCAGAAAGACTAATACAAAAACAAAAATCTATTTGCTAGAGTGGTGTTTGCTTTCCATAATGAAGGCACCAGTAATAGCACTGACAGATTGTAACCAAGTCAAGGCAGATGCTCCAACAAGAATTTCTAAGTATGTTAAATTTTGGTTTATCTCATACATTCAAATATTTCTACATGAAATCAGAACACGTTCTGAAACAACTTGACTGACCCTAAATTCAAATCTTGTCTTTGAGCTAGTACAGATCGGAACCATAATTTAGTCATATTGACCACTTTGCCTCATTTAAAAAACAAAATCATTGAATAACAAGATCCAGCACATAGCACTTAATAGGGACATGATTGCATCATGCCTGCTGATCCCAGAAGCAGACGCTGGAGGGGCAAGGGGATTGGCCTGGTTAGAAGGCCCACCTTGGATCGTTGAGAATTTCTGTTGTATTAAATAGAGCTATGTCCTCTAGCCCTAACCCTTCACATCCCCTCACCGCCTGCAAATCGTTCCTGGTGTCCTTTTAGTTGGTACGTACTAAGTACAGAAGTAATGATCCATGCAATAACAATGGCAAGTATTAAAATGATGCAAACAAAAACAAAACCCATTCAGAAATCTTCATCGTAAAATACTGCGAGATCTGCAACAATATTGTCAGAGTGCAATCATAGTATCAGGAACAAGAGCTCTAGTGCCTTCGCACTTCTTAATCCAATCCAAATAAATATTCAACCGTTGACAAAGATCATCACGATAAACTAACTCATAATGAGTATTATTACCCAGATTTCCAAGCAACTACTTCCGCTGAATCTGTTCCCAGATGCCCTCATTATGAAAGTTTGGCTGAACTCCAAGGCTCCAGGACAGTTGCCTGGTTCAGCAGTGTTTCTGTTTTGACAACCTGTTGGAGAGTTTATTTTGCTTGACCGACATCTGAATATGGCTGAAATAAGTCATTTCTTCTGCAACCTCATTGGTAATATCTGAATGTTGCAGAGTCAAATGATGGAAACCCATCCACCATTTTTAAACTGCTTTAAAGTCAGCCCAATTCCATGAAACACTATGATCGTGTCCAAGTGATTGCAGTATTAGCAGGCATCTATAAACTGATACCAAATTAACACATTTTGGGAAGAATGAAAATTTTGAGACCAGAAGAACAGCACTAGTTTCTCTAACACATCTCCCACCTTTACCTTCTCACCCTATTCCAATTCTCCACTTTCTGCTCAAATCTCCACTATCACAGTGTAGAGTTTCTGAAAACATATATGCACGATTTTCTTTATTCGTAATCAATTAAATTACTGCTTTAAATAGGTAACTGCACAGGACATGCAACTTGATTTTATGGCAATACTGAGTTATGCAGCTCAATTACTCAAAAGAGACACGTTACTTTTCCTGATATAATCCATTTTAGAATATCCATGAGCTTGATGAGATTATTTTAACTGTAAAATGTCAAAGTAAGTGACCTTTACAGAACACACAATAAAGTTATATATTATCATTAAGCCTGTGAACAAGTTTCATGTTCATCTAAGTTCCTATTGTATTGCCAAACAAGCTCTCAACCAGCCACAGCTATACACCCACTGGAAGAGTTCTTTCAGGGTAGCTATCCCGCTTACGCAGCAGTGTTAGTTTTAGTGCATGTTTATTAAGCAGAAAAGCTGCTGATTATTCAGAACACATTAAATGCTCAGACCTTTTTCTGAAGAAGGGTCTAGGCCCGAAACGTCAGCCTTCCTGCTCCTCTGATGCTGCTTGGCCTGCTGTGTTCATCCAGCTCTACACCTTGTTATCTCAGATTCTCCAGCATCTGCAGTTCCTACTATCTCTGAAATGCTCAAACCTATTGGCTTTCAATGGCATGCACTAAATACTATGCACTATAACCATGAGCAACTCAATGGACTAATACAATCATTTACTCACATCGATTTATCAAAATTTCCGATCACTCCTGGGGATTCACCCGGTGTTGGATAGCGGAAACAGGGGTTGTTTGCATTACAAATAATGCCTTGAATCCATGGCAGAGTCCCAGCAGATGGCATTGCCTTGTTTGGGAAGTGGCCTGAAGAAGACAGAAGAAAGAAGAAATTGCAGTCACTTATTTACTTTGTGCAGAATTCATTTGAACGTAAGTTCATTTGAATCCATTAATATTAACAGGATGAGTATGCTTTTGCCTACGTGCCATCCTAAGACAGTGCCCACCACATGATCCCGGTGTTCAATGGTAAGTGTAGATTGCATAAGAAACAAAGGTAACTTTGGACCTCAAGTTCCCAAAGGTCTCCACAACTGGGGGCTTCTTTGCCTCATGTGTAGGTCTGCTGTGAACTATTTGATAGAAAATAATTGCTAAGATTAGTCAATAATTCCACAATCACTGAATCATGCCACGATAATGTTGTAGAAGGTGAAAAAATGGACATTGATCCTTTTGTGTAGCAATTCCCAGGACCCTATTTCCAGTGTAATTTCAAAGCCGTGGAAATAATCTTTCAACTTGCCTGACTACAATCTATTGGGCAGTGATAGTAGGAACTGCAGATGCTGGAGAATCTGAGATAACAAGGTGTAGAGCTGGATGAACACAGCAGGCCAAGCAGCATCAGAGGAGCAGGAAAGCTGATGTTTCGGGCCCAGACCCGAAATGTCAGCTTTCCTGCTCCTCTGATGCTGCTTGGCCTGCTGTGTTCATC